GCTCCGACGGAAATATCTTAGAATTCAACAAATATATCTCCGAAGCTCAGAGTCGAAGTTGGGCAAGAGAAGCTATTTTGGGGCAAAATTTGATGAGGCAAAGAAAACAAATTATCTCAGGTCTAAGTTTGCAAGAGTACACCCTAGTGGAAATGCAAACAAGCTGAATCAATGATAGAGTGAAGAATACTCTCGCAACCATTCTCCTTCCAGATCGAGAAAACATACATACATACATACATATATACACATACATACATACATAAAATTTGCATCAAACATTTATCATATATATTAAAGACATTTTTCTCCTCACGTGGGGACAAATTGGACAGAAAAAAAAAAAAATTATTATTAAATAAATTTCATCTTGACATCCATCATAACATCCAATATAGTCAGTCAAAAATGCATCATTTTGATCTCTCAGGAAATCAAAGCTCGGAAATGACCAGATGTCTAACTTGCAGAAACAATGATTTGGGCTTCCTGAAGTCAACAATCAAGACATTTCCTCAACGTGCATGAACAAACAGACTTTTTATCGCCTTTGAGGGTGTTTTTCTTGAAACAAAATTTTTGTCTCACTTGAGATATTTTTTCCACAAATTTTGAGAATTTTAAAACAAATTTTTGTCTCGCTTGAGACAATTTCTTTCGAAGCAAATTTTGTCTCGCTTGAGACAGCTTTCTCAAAACAAATTCTGTCTCGTTTAAGACAAATTCTCTTAAAACAAACTTCGTCTCGCTTGAGACATTTTTTCCTTTGAGATACAAATTTTGAATTTGATTCACTTAAAACAAAATTAATCTCACCTTAGATTGTTGTTTCTTTTAAAACAAATTTCGTCTCGCTTGAGACCTTTTCCCTTTGAGATCCAAATTTCGAATTTGTTTCACATTAAACAAAGTTGATCTCACTTGAGATCGTTTCCTCAAAAACAAACTTTGTCTCATTTGAGACTATATCTTAAAGCAAATTTCGTCTCGCTTGAGACATCATTTTCTCTCATAATACAAATTTCAAGGTTGTTGTACTTAAAGCAAAATTAATATCACTTGAGATTTTCAAAGCTGATTGGTCTCGCACGAGACAGTTTCCCCTTTAAACAAATCCTGAAATTGTTTCATTTGAAACAAAATAAACACTTTTGAAAACACCTTTGAGATTATTTCCATATAAACAAAATCGACAATATTTGAATCTTTTAAAACGATTTTTTATCTCTTAAAGACAATTTCTTTTGAGGAAAAAATCTTTGAGTTTGTTCCTTTCGAATAAAAATCTTTGAGTTTGTTCCTTTTGAATAAAAATCTTGGAGTTTGTTCCTTTTGAATAAAAATCTTGGAGTTTGTTCCTTTTGAATAAAAATCTTTGAGTTGTTTATTTTGAAAAAAATCTTTGAGTCTATTTATTTTGAAACAAAGTTTTGTCTCTCTTGAGACAATTTCGTGAAAAATCTTTGAGTCTGAAACAAAGTTTTGTCTCTCTTGAGACAATTTTGCGAAAAAAATCTTTGAGATTGTTTCTTTTGAAACAAAAATCTTTGAGTTTGTTTCTTTGGAAAACAAAATTTACCATCATTGAATTTGTTTCCTTTGAAACAAAACAAACATCTTTGAGATCGTTTCCCTTGAAATGAATTTTGTCTCATTTGAGACAGCTTCCCATGAAACACAGATATTTGAGAACGTTTCCCTTAAAAACAAATTTTGTCTCGCTTGAGACAATTCCCTTTAAACGTCATCTTTTGAGTTGTTTCATTTGAAATTTTGTCTCTTTTGAGACAGTTGCTTTTGAAACACATTATCTTTGAGCTTGTTTTTCTTGAAACAAATCTTTGAGTCTGTTTCTTTTGAAACAAATCTTTGAATTGGTTTCTCTTGAAACCATAACTCCTAAAGATGGCCAGCCGTCCTCATCATGTAGGAACCGTGTCATCCCCAGACCAGATCTCCTCATCACGTAGGAGCCGTAGATAACCAGCCGTCCTCATCACGTAGGAACCGCGTTATCACCTTTAGATGGCCAGAACTCTTCATCACGTATGAGCCGTGTCATTCCCCAGACCAGATCTCCTCATCACGTAGGAGCCGTGTCAACCATAGATAACCAGCAGTCCTCATCACGTAGGAACCGTGTTATCACCTTTAGATGGCTAGAACTCTTCATCACGTATGAGCAGTGTCAACCCTCGACCAGATTTCCTCATCACGTAGGAACCATGTCACCCTTAGACGACCCGAACTCTTCATCATGTATGAGCAGTGTCGTCCCCAACAACCAATATTATCCAATTTCTATGTATAAATGGAAGAGAACCAGACAAAAACGTGTTGTCTTATCATCTTTGCCCTATTCTTGTTAACACAAGAATGTGCAAAGAGGGGCAGCTGTAGACACCCGTTTTTGTCCGGGTTTTTTATCGTTATTTTATTATTATTATTATTATTATTATTATTATTTATTATATTATTAATATTACATTTTACATATTTTGCAGGCCAAAGCCCAATACAACAAGGCCCAACAAGACCCGGTTCAGACCCAATACTCAAACCAGGCCTGGATTTGGCCCAAGTAATTAGGGTTTCAAAACCCTAAATCATCCAGCCGCCGCCAGCAACAGCAAATGGACAGCCGCGCCGCCGTCACTGTTCCGGCCCACTCCGATGGTCCAGCCGCCGTTCCCACGTCGCCAGTATCATCCACAATGCAAAATATCACCCAAATCAGTCACAAATTAAATCAAATCCAAAACCCATTAAAAAATACCTAAATCCCGATAAATCGGGAAATTTGTCCCTACCAAGATCAGGGACCCTTACCCCTACGCTAGCATCATCATCATCTCACCAAACGCAGCAAAATGGACCATAAATCAAGTAAAGGTACCAATTTTGAGGGGGGGTCATTCGGTTGGTAAAAAAAAAAAACAGAGAGAAGAACAAGAGAGGATTCGGGTTCAGAGAAAAAAAAAGAAGGAAAATACAAAAAAAAAAAACAGAGGGAAACGAAAGAAAAAGCAAACAACCTTGAGAGAAAAAAACTGAGAACCACAAAATAGAGAAAGAAATATTCATACCTGGGTTTGGAGATCGTCGGAAAGCCCAGAAGCCGGCGGCCTTTTCGCTTCTTTCAAAGGTAACCATCTAGATTTAGGGGGTTAGGGTTTATTCTAGGCCGATTAGGGTTGGTTTTCGAGTAGAGGGTGAGAGCGGAGGAATTTTTGAGTCTTTTGGCTTCCTCCGGCAGCCGTGCACTGCCGTGTGCCACCGTCGGCCCCGCCGTGGGAGCCTGCGGCTGCCGTGGCCCTTTTCTCGGTTGAGAGAGTTTCAGAGAACTCTGAAACTCTCTATCTCTCTTCTCTCTTTTCAAATGAAGCAAATGAAGGATGAGAAGAATTTAGCCCATGTTTTGGGCTTTTAATTCCCACCTGAAACGCGACCGTTTTGCCCTCAACCCCATCCGTGTTTTCGAGTTATGGGATAACTACACTTTTAGTCCTCCTAGCTTTGTAAACTTACCCGCGTGTTTTGGGTTTTTAGGGTCTAATGTCACTTTTGGTCCCTGATTCTTTGTAACCGTATTATATAGTCAGTAAATGAAATTTATTTTATTTCGATTTCGAGCATTCATTTTTAGAACTTATATTTTAGTCCTATAATTGTATGATTACGCTATTTTTGTTATGTTGAATTTTGGACATTATGTTTGTAATAATTGTATTTTAGTCACTAATTTCGTGTGTTGTGTATTTTTGTGAATGTTCGAATTTGGACAGGATATTTATGTATTTTACATATTAGTCACTGTTGGGTATTTGGTTTAATTATTGTTCAGTCCTTCATGCTATATATCATACTATTTTTGTTTATGTTCGATTCTGGTTTTAATATTTACAAATGTTTCATTTCAGTCATTGAATGTTACCTTTCTTTATTTTAATTAGTATTTTTAATTTACTTTGTTTACATTATGGTCAATGTTTTAGTATAAATACTTTAGGTAAATTTATTGTTTGCCCTTACGAATTTATGTTTTAATTTGTTTTAGTCCCTTAATTACTTATTTTTGTATTTTATTTTGGTTTGTAATGTTTATTTATTTTTATTTTAGTCATTTATATATGAATGTATTTTACATATTACATGGTTATTTGTATTATGTAAATAATGTGTTTAATTCCATTTAATGTAAATATTTGTATTTCCAATTACATTTGTTCTCATTATATTTTTATCTATGTAAGAAATATTCGATTATATTTTCAAGAACACGTATGCGTAGAATGGGCGTGGAAAGTACCACTTGGTCGAAGTGGTGCGATCCGATACGGCATTTTAACGACATAGGGACTTGTAACAATTCGAGTATATTTTACTAATTAATTTATTGAAATGTGTGGTACCTTAAGTGATGCTCACTTTATTTTATGTGAATGTAAAAATTAAAATTTTATTTTATATTCGATACACATTTTTAAATAAATGATGAGAGAATATTCTTTAAAAGATAAGAAATAGACGAGTTAATTTTCCCGACGGAGGATTGTTAATCTCGAGATTTCTTTTCAAATTAAAGAATTTTCTCTGATAAAATAATTCGAAGTAAATTAATTAAATCTCAATAAACAAATCATATTTTAGTTTTATATTCAATTTGTAATTTCCACCATTTACGACGATGTGTAAGCTACACAGTACCAATTTTGGGCGTTGTGGGGGTGTTTACCCTTCCCCACACGTAACCGACTCCCGAACCTGTTTTAAAGGAATCTTTGGTAACGTAGACCAAATTTTTGTCTTATAAGATAATTTTTCTTAAAATTATTTTTAAAAAACGTTTTTAGGTATTTGACCTACCTAACCCAAAGGTCGATGGCGACTCTTTTCAATCTTATTCAAATCCATTCAAAATCACCAAAATTTCCAAATTAAAGTCGTAATCGTTTTTAAAAATAAAATCTAATTGTTTTAAGAAATTATGGTTATGACAGGTACATCGATTTCGGTTTAAATCCTATTTTCATTATGTTCTTATCGATATTTGATATACACGACTCATTCTCATTCCTCTTTCAACTTCCGAAGCTCGGGGAAATCGGTTGTTTGCCGCCTGCACTGAAGTCTGTGACCTTAGGTGGTGCTGAATCACAACATTCATCTGAATTGCCACCTTTAGTTGATTTAGAAACGAATGTCTATAGCTTCGGAGTATTGTTACTTGAAACCATTTCCGGAAAGCTTCCGTACTCCAAAGGACAAGGACCGATCGAGAAATGGGTATGTTCTGGTATGATCTGATAACTTCATATACTGTAATCTCATCCCTAATATCAAGATCATGAAACTTCGCAGGCAGATCAATACCTGATGGAGAAGTCACAGATGAGCTCGATGATCGATCCGACGCTCGAATTGTTCAAAACCGAAGAACTTGAGATAATCTGTGAGGTTATCAAAGAATGCATCATAGCAGATCCAAGGCAGAGACCAACCATGAAAGACATAATTCCAAAATTGAGACAAGTGATTCATATTGGCCAAGAACAAGCCACGCCTAGACTCTCGCCATTGTGGTGGGCAGAACTTGAGATGTTAGGTACTTTGACCGACGACTCCATTATTTTGTGTTGACGTTAAGCAGTCCAACATCCTATTTTTTTTTTCTCAATCTGGCTCTCTAACTCAAGAAAATAACTCAATATGATCCTCCCATATTTTCTCTTATATTTTGGTCACTAAACTTTAAAAGTTTTCAATTTAACCATTCAACTTTTGAATTACTCTTGTTTTAATCATTATGATTTATTTTATTAATATTTATGTATGATGTGACATTTATTATTACTATTTTATTAATAAATGATTAAAATAATATTAATTACATTAAAATTTTAAAATTATATTGAAACAAAAAAATATTTCCAAAATTATAATTAAATTAAAAAATATTCTCTCTGATTTATATATTTTCAAATCTTCACTCTCCTCCTTTATCCTCTCATTTCATTTTTCTTCATTTTCAACCAAAGAGTTCTTTTTTGTTTTCTTTCATTACCCGATCAAGTAGCTCATCCCCACTTCTTTCAATTTCTTTACAAGTTCAATCTAGATTCATTGAATCTGGTAATGAAAGAAAGAAGAAATCTTTGATTGAAAAGAAAAAATGTCATATCATACATAAATGCCACAACATACATAAATATTAATAAAATAAATCATGATGATTAAAACATGACCAATTCAAAAATTGAGTGATTAAATTGAAAAATTTTAAAGTTTAGTGACCAAAATAGAAGAGAAAAAAATTTGAGGGCCAAATTTAGTTATTTACTTGAGTTGGAGGGCTAGACTGAGAGAAAAAAAAGATGTTGGTAAGCTTAATGTGTCACGTCAGTACAAAATAATGGAGCCGTTGGTCAATGAGGCACATAGAAGAGAAAAAATTTGAGGGCCAGATTATGAGTTCCTGTCGGTGCGAAGTTATGGCGTGAAATTTTATAAGAGGCACATAGTTGTTCTTTTGTTATGCATCTAAGTAGTACGAAGATGTACATGGATATTCGTGAGTTGTATTAGTGGCCAGGGTTAAAGTGAGGTGTGCTTTAACTTATTAGTTCGTGTTTGGTTTGTTAGAGAGTGAAAGTTGAGCATCAGTATCCTTCGAGTTTTTTTTACAACCAATTAGTATTCTTGAAGGGAAGTGAGAACGTATTATGATAGATTTTATTTCAGGTTTTCCGTTATCACCGTCAAAGAAGGGTTTTGTTTGGGTATAATTGATCGTTTCTCGAAGAACACACTTTTTCTTCCCGTGCGTACAACTTTTTCGTTGCAACAGTTCGTTAAGTTGTATATTTTAGAGATAGTGCATTTGCTTGGTGTTTTGTTGTCGGTTATTTATGATCACAATTTGAGGTGTACTTAGAGGTTCTAGAAGAGTTTACATGAGATGTTGGGTTTGAAGTGGAACTTTATCAACGAAAGTCTACATCCACTACCTTAGCTATCCACACTAAGAATTTTCACAAACTCACTAATTTGTATCTACCTTATCATCATGACAATATCGAACTTCTCATGCCATTGTTTTGGTGCTTGTTTAAGTCCACTCAAAGACTTCACTAACATACAAACTTTCTTTTCTTGACCTAGAACTACATGACCCTCAGGTTGTTTCATGTAAATTTCTTTGTCAAGATCCCCATTAAGGAAAATTGTCTTGACATCCATTTGATGTACTTCTAGATTTCGCAAAGCGACAATTGCAAGTATCATTCTTATAGATGTTATTCTTGATATAGGAGAGAATGTATCAAAATAGTCAAGGTCTTCCTTTTGTCGGTATCCTTTTATTACCAATCTAGACTTATATTTATTAACTGTTCCATCTGCTTTCATTTTTCATTTGAAAATCCATTTAGAATTTAATGGTTAAACCCCTGGAAGAATATCCACTAATTCTCACACATGGTTCTACATGATGGAATCTATTTCACTTTTAATGGATTTCTTCCATAAGGTGCCTTCATAGGATCGCATAGCTTAACTATACGTTTGAGGTTCAACCTCTAACATAAAGGTTAAGAAGTATGGCCCAAAGGATTTTTCAACTCTTCCTAGTTTACTTCTTCTGGGCTCTATTTTAGTTTCAGTCTCTTGTTGATTATCCAAACTATCCTCATTGTTAGTCTCTAAAGTTTGCTTTAAACTTTGATCAACCTCCTTAGATTTATAAGGGACAATATTTTCAAAGAATGATGCATTCTTTGATTCCATCATTATATTCTTATGAATTTTAGGATTCTTTGATTCATACACAATAATTGATACGCATTGCTATGTTTTGCATAGTCAATGAAAATAAAATCCATATTTTTAGGGCTTATTTTCATTTGCTTTGGTAATGGGGCCAATACCTTGGTAAGACACCCCTACGTTTTCAAATGTTTGTAGGAAGATTTTCGACCTTTCCATAATTCGTATGGCGTCTTCTCTTTTTTTTTCTTTCGGGGTGCCTTATTTAAAAGGTAATTAGCTGAAAAGACAACTTCCCCCACATGTTCTGTGATAATCTAGAATTGCCTAATAAGACATTCATCATTTATTTTCGAGTCTGATTTTTTCGCTCGACTACTCCGTTTGATTGAGGAGAATAAGGTGGTGTTACTTAGTGAATAATACCATGTTGTGAATAAAATTCACTAAATGGTTCACCATATTCAACACAACAATCACTTCTTACCATCTTAATATTTTTATTAAGTTGGTTTTCAACTTCATTTTAATAGAAAACAAATTTCTCAATAACATCACTTTTTCTCTTTTAACAAATACACATATCAATACTTTTGTTATCATCACTGGAGGTAATAAAATATTTTTCTACCTCGTCTATGCCATTAGTACGAATTTTAAGAACTTGATCACTAATAATTCATTAGTACCAGCATCTTCCGATTCGTAGTTACATTTCAATATAATACATAATTCTTTAGTCATTTTAAACATTGTACTCTTCATAACGTGCACCAGATAAGACTTTAAGAATGTGATTACATCTTAGAAAAGCCATGTTTTCCAAACTTTGATTTGAGACTTTCAAAAAATAAAATCAACAATTTATTTCTTTTACAAGATATAATCATACTTGATTGTCAATAAATAAATCCAACGATTTAATTTCTTTTACAAAAAGAATAATACAAGATTTTATGAAAATAAATTTAACTCGATCAAGATTTCCAACAAAATAAATTTTACGTTTTATTTCCTTTTACCAAATAGAATCATGTAAGATTCATAGGAAAATAAATTCAACAATTTATTTCATTTTCAAAGTTAGAATCAACGCAAGATTCTAAGGTAAAATGAATACAAAAATTTATCTACTTTTATAGTGTTATATGTAACACCCTCAACCCGTATCTAACCCAGATCCGAGTCCAAGGTGTCACATTGACTTTTCAAAACATTTTTTTTACAAATTGGTAAAAATTTAAATCCATAATTCAGTAAGATAAACAATTTTCATTAATTAAAACATTTGTTTTCACAAAACCTATCAGAGCATATTCAATACAATTCTCTTAGTACATGCCAACTAAATATAACAAGGTACACATGATTAATATTCTTTTCTGATCTGAACTTCATAAGGAAGTGACTGACCTGTCTTGCTCCTCTTAGCTTCTTTTCTCGATTTCCGGAACCTACATGTGAAACAATCACACACTAAGTCTAGGACTTAGTGAGGCATAAAAACACATCTAATGTAATTTATATTCACTAACCATGCATGACTATTTTATACTATCATAACCATGAAACTCATATACTTTCATGTAATAAATACATACACACACACACACACACACACACACACACACATACACACACACACACACACACACACACACACACACACACACACACACACACACACACACACATACATACATGTCATCATTTATGTTTCTATCATACTCATACACTATTATCATTCATATTTCTTATCTCTTGTTTGTATAATCTCTTATGCTCATATCATATATCTTATAACTCATTCTTATAATAGATGCAATCATAACAAACATATATCATTTCATACAGTTCATATCACACATCATATATATATATATATATACATGCATTGTATTCAGGATTATCTCTTTATTAGCCCATGTACATTATTGAGAACTTTAGGTACGTGAGTACATAGAGGTTATGCACAATGTTGTCACCACAGTTCATATAAATCCCACTAGGGGCGCGTAGAAATTTGTCCCGTAGGACCACTATGTCCCGAATGACCACATAAAACACATATGTCCCGTAGGACCACGTAGAACCCTCGACTTTTGGTATGCCAACTATACCTATAGCTCTTATAACACATGACATGGGCATTATCTTTTATATCACTTCACATATTCACGTAGACACATAGTTTACTTTCATATAGCATATTTCCATGTAATTCACATTCTCGTGTCACATAGCTTCTCACATTTACTTGTATTCTTTTTCACATAGCTCATAGTCATAGGTCTTATCTTATATACATATATTCACCTACTTTATAACTACATAGTTTACTCCATTTCACACATAGTCACATAGTTAAATAATTCACTTACACATATTCACCTACACACGTAGATCATTTTCATATAAATCATATATCACATGACTTATAGAAATCATGTAACATTCATAGTAACATGTTATCACATATACTCAAGCACACATATAAATCATAACAAACACATACTTCTATCTATGAATTCATAGTTTTACTATTGGAAATAGACTTATCGTAAGTCTTATTTCCCATTAAACATCATATACTAAATAAAGTGTACTCACCTGGCCTCACTAGTCAATATCGTTCTCTTATCTTTTCTTCTATGCCCAATACTTGTCGACTGATCTGGATTTGCTTTCTATTGATATCTACATAATCATATATTATACATATCATTATTCCTCTTGGCATACTCAAATCTTTCATTTCCTTAAACTAAAGGAAAGGCGGAATTCATTTTCTATTTAAGGTAAGTATCAATACACTCTATAGTGTATCAGTACATCCCTTAAAGTGTGTATCGATACACAAACTAAATTCGAAAGTT